TTAGTGAGTGACAAAATGTAGAACAAATAATGTATGTCTGTTCTATTAAAATTTCTCAATTCAGGGCCCACTGCCTGTTTTTGCCAAGGGCCCCAAATTTCCTAAATCCGCCCCTGCAGACCAGGAAACAGGAAACGCTGTAGTCATCAGAGAGTTAGCATCAGCTAAATGCTAGTAGATGTTTAGCAGGATATTTACATGAAACAATTTTCTTTGTCCTTCCTTCATCACGTAAATAGATGACCCCCGAACCCCCACCCCCCCAGTGACATATAAGCAACATTGTGTTCAGGAACAGGCAACTTTGCATCAGTACAGTCTGCTGGAATTTCCCTATTTTTACCATTTTTAATATATTTTCATATATATGCAAATTGAAAAACTTTCTTTTTTTTTTTATAATAACTATAAAATGAAATGGGCTCCAGTTGTTTATACTGTATCTTGCACAGCTGAAGTGCATTGGGTCGCCTCCAGCAGCCTGTATTAAAATCCGTTTCAATATTAAAACAGTTTAGTTAGACTTTTAGGAGTTGAGGGCCTAATATCAATGTCTGTCATCTGTTGGATGAGTATGAAGAGCTAGCTTCTCTTGTAGCGTAGGAAAAACAAAAGGAAGGCATTGTTAACCCACCGCCGAGCTGCATTAGAAGCAGTCAGAGCAGTGCGTCACTGTTTTATCGCCTGGCCACATCAACTGTGTCATAATTGTTACTGTGTCTATAAATAATAAGGTTTGATGGGAACATTTTCTAGCTGAGCAGGCTTTGTGTTACTGACCAATACCATCAGATCAGGCCGCTTTATTCTGATGCAGCCCTCTCACTCTGCTGGCTGTGAAGCTGAATCCATTCATATGAAGGTGAATTGATCAAAGGTTGCAGAGGGAATCAGTAGATCAGACGTGTTTGAGGTGTCGGCCTGATGTAGCTGAGAGTGGAGTCATTTGCAGCAGTTTTAGGGGAATAGGAGCGAGTGCTCAGGTTACATGCTGATGGAAACCTGGGAGACTAGATCGAGATGGTGAAGCTGAAATAATTGCAAAAACAAGTCCACCTTTTTTTTATTCATATTTTTGCTTTCAGTTACACCCCATACATTGCTCTGACAGCAGTTTAAAGTTACTTAAGAATGTAAAAGTAGATGCAATTTTTAAAAAATTGACATTGTTGGAGGACAAACCCCAAGTGACTTCCAAATAGATGCATTTTATGCACCTTTTCCTCCTTTCTGCCTTCTATTCTAAATAATGAAGTGAAGGAATTTTTTATTTTTTTTTAACAGTGTCCTGTCTGGCAATGTGGCAATAAGAATAATTGTCTTGATGCCAAAAAGAGCCCAA